AGAGTGAGAACCTGAAAATAGCCCAGATGCACCTCAACCAAAGAATGGATAGACAGAAATTGTAGTTCATTTACACAGTGGAAAACTATTCAGCTATTAAAAACATGAAGATAATATATTTTTGAAGTAAACAGATGGAACTAGAAAATATCCTGAGTGTGGTAATCCAGAGTCAAAAGTGAATACACGATATGCACTAATTTATAAGTGGATATTAGCATAAAGTTCAGGATACCCACATTATGTTCCACAAACCCAAAAAGACAGGATTGGTATGTACTTACTAATAAGTGGATATTAACCAAAAAGTACAAAATACCCAGATTAAAAACCACAGGCTGTATGAAGTTTAATAAGATAAAAGTACCAATTGAGGATGCTTCAATCACACTTAAAACAGGTAACAAAATAATCATGGGAGGAAGAGGGAGGGAGGGAGCTTGATCAGAGAGGGGACAATGAAAGGAAATGGGAAACAGTATCCAGTATGGGAAAGGAACATAAGAGAAGTCCAAAGTGCCAGAAGAATTGCAGGAAATATGCAGCTGCCAGGGGTGGGGTGTGGGATGTCCCTCTGGAAAGTCCCAGAAGCCTAGGATGTGAGAGACTCTCAGGATTCAATGGAGGTGACCTTTGCCAAATTGCCCAACAGAGGGGAAGTTAAATCAAAGAATCTATATCCAGCAGATAGACAAGACCCCAAAGAGAGGAATACCAAACAGTAGTCACAACTTCTGACCCAGAGTTTTTCCTGTCTATGAGAAATGCAGAGACAAAAATGAAGAAGATATTGAAGAAAAGTCTGCCCAGTTATCAGCCCAACTGGAGATATGTCTCATGGGTGGGTACCAAGGTCTGACACTATTACTGATACTATAAAGTTCTGACAGTCAGGAGCCAAGTGCCCTACAAGCACCTGATTGAGACAGATGTAGATTCTAAATACAACCATTGTACTAAAGTGAGGAACCCCTATAGTTGAAATAGGGGAAGGACTGAAGGATCTGAAGTGAAGGGCAACTCCTTAGGAAGACCAGAAATCTCAACTGACCTGGACAACTGGGAGCATCCAGAGACAGAGCCACCAACCAGGCAGCATACACAGGCTGATCAGAGGCCCCCCAGTGCATATATAGCAAAAGAGTGCCTGGTCTGACCTCAATGGGAGAAAATGAGCTTAACTCCAAGAAACTTGAAGCCCCAGGAAAGGCAGATGCCCAGTGGGGAGGTGAGGGAAAGCACCATCTAGGAAACAAGGGGGAGGGAAATAGAATGAGGAACTGTGGGAGAGGAGACAGGGATGGGCCATGACTGGAATGTAAATAAGTAAAATAATTAACAAAAGTTTTTAAAGCACTAGAGTTGGAGGCAATCATACTATCAATTTAAAATGATAATGGGGAGTGAAAACTTAAAAGTAATTATCTACATTTGTAAATTGCTCAGGAATAAAATAAATAAAAATAAAATTAAAAACAAGGAGCAGAATAAGCTGGATATTGGACTTGATTAAATAAACACATGTTTATATTATGGGCTTTACGAGAGAGAGAGAGAGAGAGAGAGAGAGAGAGAGAGAGAGAGAGACAGAGAGAGACACAGAGAGAGACAGAGAGAGAGAGAGACAGAGAGAGACAGAGAGAGAGACAGAGAGAGAGAGAGAGACAGAGAGAGAGAGAGAGAGAGAGACAGAGAGAGAGAGGTGAATATAGAGAAAACATACCTAGTGAAGTTCCATCTAAACATCCTGACCCTGAAACCACAAAGAATCGTAAATAAAATAAATGAAAAACACTCCTCCTAAAGGTCAACTGCAAGATAGAAAAGCTCAAGATGTGATAAGAAAGAGAGACAGACAGACAAAGGACTAAGAAACATTTCAGAGAATCCTAATAGACCAACAGCAGTTTCCTTTTTAAAAACCTAACAAGAATTAACTGTAAAATTTCCCTTCCAAACAAACAAACAAAAAATACAATTATCAGAAAACTTCCAAAATAAGTGCAAAATAGCCACTCACTCTCTGAATTCAAATTGAAAATACATTTGCATTAAGTTGATGAAAATTTACAAAAGTGAAGGAAAAAGTAAAATGTTATTATTATATTTAAAATACCAAAACAGGAATAAATCGTGATATAGAAAAATATTAAAAAACCCCAGAAAATACCAGCATGAAGATATTAGCATGATAACTATGTATGTACCTGAAAGAAATCATACATTCAATATAATTTGAAAAGAATAGATAACAAAAGTATTATCTGCGTGTCAGTAAAGAAAAACATCTCTAGTAAAGATACAGTCAGAAAGTTTTAAAGAATATACGACTTTACTTCAGTCTAATGGTGATAAGATAGTTGTATAATACAGCCAAAGTTCTAGCAAGAAACAACTCCAAAAAGTTCTCTTCCAACCAAAAAATACAATTACCAGAAAAACTAATACTGAAGCAAAAATAAGAAGTCTCTGGAAACAAAACAAGGATCATATAACCTGAAAATAAGTTTGCATTAATTTAAATAAATTACACAATTATAGAAGAAAAGAACAAAACAAAACTAAGTATAAATTTGGAGTAAACATGTTAGTCAAAATAGTTACAATAGTTGGGTTCAGTATGAAAATTATTTATTCATTGGAAAATAATACTTTATGACTAAAATAAAGTCTGATGAATAACTGTGCTTTTCCTCTTGTTTCATCAATTTTATAGAGAAATGCCTGTCTATTTATGAAGGTCAAATATAAAAATTAGGCACTGTCTCTCCTGTGGTTTATGGAATTTGCCTCCATAAAAATACTAGGACTATATATATCCTAAGTGTTTATACTGAAAATGAAATATAATGTAAGAAAATAAATTATTGCTTTCAGCCAATGCATCTACCAGCAGTCCCAGAGGTCGGCAGCCATCAGAGACTACCAGGTGAGACTGCTACCCAAATTCCTTGTCTGCTGGCCCCTGTTGCAACAGAGAAAGATTTCTTCAATAAATTCCCTTAGTTTTTTCATGGATCATATTTAAAGGTAATTCCATACTACGATGTGTAATAAAATAAGGGTTTTTTTTAATAAATCATTGCTAGGATGCATTTAATTGATCTTGGTTATTCACAGAATCAAAAGTCAGAAAACTCTAATTGTCTCCCATGGGAGAAAAATTAATTTCCTTAATGAATTTAGGAAGTCATAGCAGGGTACTTAAATGGCATAAGTTTGAATAAGCTAAGAATGTATAGCAAATAGAATAGAAAATCTCAGGAACAATGCTTTGTTTTGCTTTGCATAAGGATAAGTAGATAGACAAATAGAGTTGCCAAATAAGTTGGCAGACAATATCAACTTAGATAAGGACAAGCAAGTCATAAGCAGAGTCATAGTGAATTGTCCCCTGAACCTTCACCTAGCCGATACCCGGTTCTGAAGATATCTGTATTCCCCCTGAACACCCAGACTCCAGTGTCATTCCCTTCCCCACATCCTGCCTTTCTGTGTTTATAACCCATGTGTGAATTAATTATGATTTGAGAAAAAGTTTTAAAAAATAGCAGTGTTTTTTTTTAAGCTTACTGGCTTTTTACAAGCATATCACGATGAATACCACATCACTCTTTCTTTAAAAATTAAAAATTACCTAAGGATATAAGACAGCAAATATTCAATGAGATGAAAATATTGGAAGGAGTGCAGGTTCATGCTGTGTGTGATACTCTTGATGTGATGATTAAGGACCTTAGGAAGTGCATATAGTAACCAGAGAACATAATGTCTTCCCTTAGATATGTGCAGCTTTCAACAGCATTAACTTCTGACACAATGAAGAAATTTTGTTAATTTATTTAAAATGTGGCTTCTAACAAAATTTTTTGACTGGGATGTAAATTGAGACAAAGATATACATGAAAAAAATAAAGTAAATTTTATTTTACTGTCTCTCTTCCTCATGTCCCTCTTCTGCTTTTTCTCCCTCTGATTCTCTACCTTTACCCCATTGTTTCCTTCTTGTGAGACATCCTGATCTAGGTGAATGTATTTCACAAGATAGTGGAATTTTAACATTATACAATTTTTAAAAGTAGTTCACATTATGAACTATTCATAGAGTTCATCCTTTTAACAATTACAAAAATTATTGTGTAATTATCTCTCCCATGTCCAAATAATCACTCTATGAGAGTCATTAATTATTCATCATAAAACTTTAAAGAAGAAAGAAAAGTTACTGTCACGGTGCTGCTTATAAAGCTAAGGCAGATATAACACCCAGTGACATAATGTTGGGCATTTTCTGGCTCAGAGTACACAAAGGACAAAAATGTTTATTCTTGCCATTTATATGTTAAAAGTTACCACAAGTACAATAAATGTAGTAAGAAGTGAGCAATAAAAAACATAAAATAACATGCTTGCTAATATTAGTATACAAATTGATAAAGAAAGAAATCTCAGCATAGATTATTGCAAGTAATTACAGTAAAATCTCTACATCCTTTGTGGATAACAAGATATCCCTTGTACACTAAAAGACACTCAAAACAATAAAAAAAACATCTGTTTTCATTAGATTAAAAAATTTTTACTAAATGTACATTTGTTTCACTTACTAGTTTGTAGGATCATTATATATACATTCCTAAAAGGACAGAAGATGGTGCTGAAACATCTGGAACTAAAGTTAGAAACAGCTTTCAGTTATCTTTCAAGAATCAAACCCAGACACACTTCAAGCAAGCAATATTCTTAACCATTGGGAATTCTCTCCAGTACCAAAAATGACATTTAAGTGTATATCACCTCCAACTTGCAAATAAACTCAATGTATTGCAAGTAATATTCCTGAAAGAGCTTTAAAAGTTGTTAACATCAGTCTAGAATTTATTTGGAAATTCAAAAACACCATAATAAAGAAAGTATGTAATCTAGAAAAGTGGTATTATAGATTTTGATTTTATTTTTCTCTGTATATAAAATTAGAATAATTAAGATTATTATGTACTCCTGAGTCCTAGAGGCATTGCAGGTGTTGCTTCTCTGTCACATGTGGGTCAATAGGTGGCAGAGAACAGACAGGCTATGTCTCTGGTCAGTGGTTTGACCTAAGAATATCTGAATAATTAGTAGCTTGACATTCTCTTAAAACCGCAAACTTGAGAACACAACCAGATTGGAGCCAGGCAGGCCAAGACAATCTCCAAGGATGGGGATCCAGAAATTAGAAGAACCCCAGGTAGGTTCGAGGTTGGTCCCTGTGCAGGAGTGAACGACAAGCCTGGCATAGGGCAACTCTGGCATCTGAGCAAGAATTAAGCTGAAGATGACTACCAGACTTTCACCATGGTGCTGGGACAGAGCTAAACTGAGATAAAAACCAGTCTAGCCCTGGCCAGGCCTACAGAACAGTCCATGCCTGAGATAATCATGCCTGGAACTAGAATGTATGAGAAGGGCATAGCACTCTTGAGACCACTCCTGAGACAACCCCAGACACTCAGAGACCATAGGCACTGTTGAGGGAAGCAAGAGAGTCGTAAAGAAATGAAGGAAAATTGAAGCAGAAAGATGTGGGTACAAAGAAAAGAGGTAGAACTAAAGACTGAAGGGTTATGAGGAACATCCAGATGTGAGTAGCTTGTGATACCACCTGGGACCATCGATGAGTCCTAGACTGGCCAGCCATCAGGAGGCATTTCTGGTTCTCTGTCCCTGAAGCAACAGGGTCTGTTCCCACCATAGACCTTTCAGTCATACCTGGTCTCTGCTTCTGCCCTGAGGGTTGTGAAAAAGTGTCCCCACCTCTCACCTGGGCATTCTGGAAGAGCTGGCTGTAGGGACATGAGAGAGTAGGAAGCCTGACACTGCCCCTAGCCAACTCCAGTACTTAGGAAAGCCTGGGCCCACGTATTGCAGGAGTTGTGGGTAAGATTTCCCAGGTATACAAGAAAGCACATAAATTTTTGTCTTAGCACTAGTCTCCTTTACAACACATGAATGAGAGAGAAGTACCCACCTCACCTATTATCACCTGTGGCAGGCAGGAGATATGGTGCTTGGCTTATAAAGCAGGAGAGCTTGTCCTTTCACTCTTCATGTGCAAGGTGAAGGAGAGCAGGCCCCTACATGTTGCCTGTGCAGCACAGTAGAGCTGTCCCTGTTGGCAGAAGACAGAAAAGCTGGACCTGAGGCCCTGATAGTGGAATGTGTATACCACCACTTTTCTGCTATGTAGTACTATGGTCTAGGAAGAGAAGCCCAGTCTACCCTGTGCCACCTACAAGAGACAGAAAATCTTGTACTGAAGCCATCAGAGGGGGAGATGTGGCTCTGTCCCTTACCTGCTGCACCATTCCAGAGAGCAGACCTTTCACCTCATCTGGACAGCATATTTGAGCTGACATTGGATATGAGGTTTGCAAGTGAGCTAGCCCTGAGCCTGTGAGTGTGGGAGAGCTGTTCCTGACAATTGTGTGTTGTGCAATGGGAGCATTTAGAAAGACAGTGCATCCCCTTATTTTTATACTTGCCACTGGCAGTGGACAGGATAGTTGGCCTCAGTGGAGTCATGAGATCAGAAGAGCTGGCTCTGACACTCAGCTGCCACATCGCATGAGAAAAAAGGCTGTGCATCTCACCTAGAACTTGCTCTGTATGTACTGGATGCAAGTGAGCCATCCCCAAAGGCAAGGCAGTGGTACACTCAAAGAAGAGAGACCTTCCTACCTTCCTTCATCACACATTGTTTTGTTGTAGTGTGCATGAGTCCTGTTGGGCTGATTTGTATGGCCTGCCTCTGTCTCACCACATGGCTAGAGCCTCTCCTGGAAACAGAAGCGAGGTAATTTGATTGTGTTCACTCCATGCTGGCACTGCGTTAACAACAGGCTGTGCTAAGCTGCAAAACTCCACTCTGAGTGAGAGAGCACAGTCTGAGGAAGAAAACTATCATATTAAATACATATCTTGGATAGGCAGCAACAGTTTGTCTGTAAAAGGAAACTGGTTGTTAATTAAGAATTGAATAATGGTGATCAGCATAGTTGATTTGATGGGTGGATGTAGATTCCCAACCCAAGAGTTCTGGCTCCCTGAGAGACTTCAGACTATACTCCCCCACCCTGAGTGGAGTCCTGTTGCTCCATGTCTGCTTGGCACAAGTATGGGGTGAACATAGCCAAACTCCCACACCTCTGTCTCCATGAGAGGCCCTAGACACATGGAGAGACAGAGGTGGGACCCACAATTCAACCCAATAACAAACCCATGCACACACTACAACCCAAGACCTCACCATTTATGGGAAGAAGGAGAGCTAGTCCTGGGGTCATGAGAGTGGTAGAACAGGTCAGGTCCATCTCCAGATGCATCCCTAGGAAGAGTTGGCCCTGCACCTTACCTAGACAGCAAGATAGAGCTGGCACTGGTTGTGGAAGTTCCTAGTGAGCCTACAAAAGGTCAAGTCCTATAAATGAAAAACTACAGGATCTTTAGGTTACAGGCCAACAATAGGCTATCTAATATAAGTCGCAATGATGTTCCAGTTCTGATAGAGAAGCAGAAGCCTGAGTCCTCTTGTATCAGGCCAACAAGTTTTTTCAATGCACATTTGAAAGCAAAGAAGTACACAAATGTATGCACTGTGGGATACACTGTGATTCACTATAGTTTCCTTGAGAAAATAGTTTTCTGTGGTCAGAGATGGGATAGTATGCAAGGGTGGAGGGTTGCAGATATGGAGAGAGAGAGAGAGAGAGAGAAAGAGAGAGAGAGAGAGAGAGAGAGAGAGAGAGAGAGAGAGAGAGAGATTATGTAGTTGGAGTGCATGATGTGAAATACAAAAAAATCTTTTTTTAATTAAAATTTAGACAATAAAAGATAAAAGGGAAGAGAGAGGGGGAGAGAGATAATGAAACAGAGAGAGAGAGAGAGAGAGAGAGAGAGAGAGAGAGAGAGAGAGATAACTCTAGATACACAGATTGGTGGATAGATACATAGAATATCATAAAGAAACAGGAAATAGAGCTTGAGAAATGGCTCAGTGGTTAGGAGCACTGACTGCACTTCCTAAAGTCCTGAGTTGAATTCCCAGCAACCGCATTGTGTCTCACAACCATCTGTAATGGGATCTGATGTTCTCTTCTGGTGTGTGTAAAGAGAGCTACAGTGTGCTCATAGACTTTAAATAAATAATAAAAATTTTTAAAAGGAACAAAATAGATCTTATTCACATACAATTTCTAAAAATACAAGGAAATAGAATATGGATCTCCGTTGTTGTGCTGGTGTTTTGTTTGTATTGAAAACTATGCTCCTGGATATCAATTCTTTAATAAGACAACTTCTGGAAGCTTCTTTTAAAAAAAACATTTATTCACTATGATTTTATATAGGGAAATCTGGATTCTAATTTATGCAGTGGGATTAAAAGTAATATGAATGGGATTTGATGTAGTTTGATTATTGTAAACAGAACTGTGAACATAAAAGCCAGAAGAATCCTATGAGAAGTGCTGCAGACAGCTGGGAGCATCAGTAAGCACTGCTGGAATTTCAAGAGACATTACTGTATGGTACTCAGGCAGTCATCCCTTTCTCTGACACATGTGTTATAGCATTTCTGAGAAAATCAAAAATTCAGAATCCTTTCTACTGTCAATTTCTCTAGGTAATATTTCTCTGCCCCTTAAATATTGACATTAACAAACTATTTTTTCATTTATACAATTTGTGCTTGGGAAGTCTACAGAAGCTTCTGTTTTTATGAGTCACAGTTTAGGCTATAATACCTCAAAGTGAAAGACTGTTCTGTCTGTTAAGACAGACACAATACTGGAACTCTGTATTGATGGAGATGAAGAATAAAAAAAAAAGATAGGATGAAGAAAGTATTATTTAGATTCTTCTTCCAAAACAAATGACTCTCCATGATCTTAGCTAAAAATGCTGTGACATCTGAGAATCAATTTCAGTGGGTAACTCATAAGAAGGAGCAGCCAGGGCAGCCCAGCCTCTCACTTCTGCTTCCATGGGGGTTTATGCTATGAGTTGTATCACTGTGAGAGGAAAATTAACATAGTGTAGATAGTAATAGTTTCCAAAACCTTCAGACTCCAGATTGCTGATGGTGAAAAAATAATCTGCCCCAGACCTACTGCCACTGTACCTTGATGGGACCCCTTCTTCCAAGTTGGTTGCACTATAAATAAGGCCTTTAGTAGATTTCCCTGGTTTTTTCTGCAACCAGATTAAATAACTGTTAATGTCCTGACTTGCTTGGCAAATAGTAACTCTGTCTCCCAGAGATGCATACAGGGAGGATGGAGACTTGGTCATCTGAATGTCACATCTGGTACCTAAAAGTAGAGACATAATGCATATCCATATAGGTAAACATGATAAAATATCACATCACCTAAATGCCAGGCAACACTGTATAACAGTGAAATTTCCATTTTAGTTCATTTTGTCGGATAACCAGAGCAAAAAGAACCCAAGAATCTGAGCAGAAGCCCTCATGTCCATGCTGAATCCTGACTGCAAAGACAATGGCATAAGGTGTGACTGGTATATAAAGAAGTCCCCAAGGCTGTGAAATGAGGGCATGCAAAACATTTGGAACCAGTTAGAGCTGAGTACATGTGCAAGCCTTACTCATCTCAGCACATAGCCCAAGCTCAGTGCTCCTAAATGCCCGAGGTCAGACCACATAAATCTCTCCAAAGAATGCATTTCTTTGCAATGATTTATAACTATAGAAACATCTCTAATGTATGTAAGCTCTATTTTAAATAATATACATAGAAGAATATCCTGATGAATGGAATTATACAACAGAAAAGAAATTATTAAATGTGTAACTCACTCAAATAATTCTGATTGGTTAAGAAAAACAGGATGTGTTTCCCTTGTGAAATAGGCATTGCTAAAAATTTAAAAAATAATTTGTCAATGATGCCCTGACCTCTGTGTCATTCATGACCTGATCCTCCTGCTGATACTATTTCTCAGTATCTCGCCTGTCTGTCTGCCTGTCTGCCTGTCTACCTGTATGCCTGTCTGACTGTATGCCTGTCTGTCTGTATGCCTCTCTGTCTGTACATATGTATGTACATCTGTGCCCAGGATAGTCAGAATAG